TCTGTTTTGCATTTACCTTAATGTCAGAGGACTCGATGACAAAGAGCTCTGCAGTCCGAAATATCCGTTAAATCTCCTTTAAACCTCTGTTAACCGTCAACTTCTTCAGCACGATGTTGTTTTTGCTTTTTGTCGTTTCTCGGAAGGAGGTGACAGGAGTGGAGAGGGCTCACTCTGAGGACGTTTCAGGATCCAGTTCGCGTAACGTAAGCTAACGTGGCAAACAGTTCGGCGTCTATATGACAGCCGAGAGTCTTTCTATATAGACGATCTTTGATCTTCTACGGCGCCGTATAAAGGCCAAAATCCTCATGTAGGCTGTTTTTTAAGTCAGAAAGAGAGACCAGACAAAGCAACCCATAGTAAAGTAAAATAAATTCAATAATATAAAAGAGAAAAAGTAAAATGAACGAAATTAAACATGACATTGATTAAACAACACATCATTACATTTAAATAAAATGAAATTACATGATATAAAGTAAGATAAAAGAATAAAATGAAATATATCAGAAAAAAATAAAATGTAACATTAATTAAATAACAAAGTCAAAAATATATCAAATAAACAAATTAATAAAATTAAGTAAAACAAAAATTAAGTAATATTAATTAGAAAAACAAAAAATAAAATAAAATGTAACATTTATTTAATAACAAATGTAAATAAAAAGCAAATTAATAAGATGATAAACATGAAATAAAGTTGAAGATTAACATGAAATAAAATAAAAGTTAAGTAACATACATTCGAAAATTAAAATGAATAAAATGGATTCTAACATTGATTGAATAACAAAGTTAAATATACATAAAATAAATGAATAAAACAAAATAACATGAAATTCAATAACATAAAAGTAAAGTTAAAAAATAAAACAGAAAAAATTAAATAATACATTTAAAAATCAAATTAAATTATGAAATTAAATCAAGAAAATGAACAAATAAAATAAAACACCATGAGATAGAAGTAAAATAATGTGGGAAAAAAACAACAAAAATAAGAAAAAGTAAAATTAAATAAAATCAATTAAAATGAATGAATAAAATAACATGAAATAAAGTTAAGTAAAATAAAAACTAAAGTGAAATAAAATACAATAAGGGATAATGAAACTTTGAGTCTTCATAAGAGAGCAGAAATTTATGTTCAGTACGAAATGAAATTCTGTTAATATCTGACTGATCATTATTAATGTACATCTGATCATTTTAATGCAAAGTTTTCAACTACATAAACACATTTCTTCTCATGAAAGTCTTCCTTGGGTATACAATTTTTTTTAGATACAGGACATTCTTAAATTAAAAGGTATATACAGTACAGGCCAAAAGTTTGGACACACCTTCTCATTCAATGCGTTTTCTTTATTTTCATGACTATTTACATTGTAGATTCTCACTGAAGGCATCAAAACTATGAATGAACACATGTGGAGTTATGTACTTAACAAAAAAAGGTGAAATAACTGAAAACATGTTTTATATTCTAGTTTCTTCAAAATAGCCACCCTTTGCTCTGATTACTGCTTTGCACACTCTTGGCATTCTCTCCATGAGCTTCAAGAGGTAGTCACCTGAAATGGTTTTCCAACAGTCTTGAAGGAGTTCCCAGAGGTGTTTAGCACTTGTTGGCCCCTTTGCCTTCACTCTGCAGTCCAGCTCACCCCAAACCATCTCGATTGGGTTCAGGTCCGGTGACTGTGGAGGCCAGGTCATCTGCCGCAGCACTCCATCACTCTCCTTCTTGGTCAAATAGCCCTTACACAGCCTGGAGGTGTGTTTGGGGTCATTGTCCTGTTGAAAAATAAATGATCGTCCAACTAAACGCAAACCGGATGGGATGGCATGTCGCTGCAGGATGCTGTGGTAGCCATGCTGGTTCAGTGTGCCTTCAATTTTGAATAAATCCCCAACAGTGTCACCAGCAAAACACCCCCACACCATCACACCTCCTCCTCCATGCTTCACAGTGGGAACCAGGCATGTGGAATCCATCCGTTCACCTTTTCTGCGTCTCACAAAGACACGGCGGTTGGAACCAAAGATCTCAAATTTGGACTCATCAGACCAAAGCACAGATTTCCACTGGTCTAATGTCCATTCCTTGTGTTTCTTGGCCCAAACAAATCTCTTCTGCTTGTTGCCTCTCCTTAGCAGTGGTTTCCTAGCAGCTATTTGACCATGAAGGCCTGATTGGCGCAGTCTCCTCTTAACAGTTGTTCTAGAGATGGGTCTGCTGCTAGAACTCTGTGTGGCATTCATCTGGTCTCTGATCTGAGCTGCTGTTAACTTGCGATTTCTGAGGCTGGTGACTCGGATGAACTTATCCTCAGAAGCAGAGGTGACTCTTGGTCTTCCTTTCCTGGGTCGGTCCTCATGTGTGCCAGTTTCGTTGTAGCGCTTGATGGTTTTTGCGACTCCACTTGGGGACACATTTAAAGTTTTTGCAATTTTCCGGACTGACTGACCTTCATTTCTTAAAGTAATGATGGCCACTCGTTTTTCTTTAGTTAGTTGATTGGTTCTTGCCATAATATGAATTTTAACAGTTGTCCAATAGGGCTGTCGGCTGTGTATTAACCTGACTTCTGCACAACACAACTGATGGTCCCAACCCCATTGATAAAGCAAGAAATTCCACTAATTGACCCTGATAAGGCACACCTGTGAAGTGGAAACCATTTCAGGTGACTACCTCTTGAAGCTCATCGAGAGAATGCCAAGAGTGTGCAAAGCAGTAATCAGAGCAAAGGGTGGCTATTTTGAAGAAACTAGAATATAAAACATGTTTTCAGTTATTTCACCTTTTTTTGTTAAGTACATAACTCCACATGTGTTCATTCATAGTTTTGATGCCTTCAGTGAGAATCTACAATGTAAATAGTCATGAAAATAAAGAAAACGCATTGAATGAGAAGGTGTGTCCAAACTTTTGGCCTGTACTGTATATATATACATACATATGTATGTATTTTTTGTTTTTCGAGACCAAGGTGGCCAAGGCCTGTGACAGCTGTACTTTTAGATACGGTCCCTCCCTCTATTAAATATGAAAGGAGGCCCCCACATGCTTGAGCTTTACATTGCTGACTTGTACAATCAGAACTAGACTCACAAGTTAGACGCTTTGCTTAACTAAAGACTGATGTCTTTCTCCCTGATTTTGTGTTTAGATGGGCGGATACAATTTCAGAGTTTAAAAAAACTCCCTACATTGCAGAACCAATAGTAAATCCGCAGGGCGGTCCTTTTGTGGCTTTCTGAACTCTTGTTCTTGTAAATATTGTCTTACTTCGTTAAAAGTTTTAAACAAAGTCGCTGTAAGTCCTTCATTTCCACAATCTTGTGGACTGAGCACACAGAGTTAAATCTCTCGGCATCCATTTTCAAGCTCTCTGTGTGTTTGTTTCCCTGCGGACGAGAAAAGGGGGAGCGCACATTTCCGGGAGGGCGTGTCCTTTTAAAAAATGCAAGAGGCGTTGCTTTGTTGCCGACCGTTTTCTCCAGTGTATTAAACACACTTTAGAAAGGAGTGTCCCCAGACTATCAGAAGGCGGAGATCTCTGATTGTCTGGTGGTGAGACTAAATCAAAACAGACATGTCCTGTGATTTTCAGCCTTCTATGATTATATTTACCCTTTACAGCAGGCACATCCTGACAGCTGAGAATATTACTGTCACGTATTGTCCCCCCTCTATTAAATATGAAAGGAGGCTGAAAATCACAGGACATGTCTGTTATGATGATACAAGTCAGCGGTCCCGAAATGTGTTTCTCTTCTAAAATTCAGATTCTACATCTCGGAGGCGACGTTTTTCCACATATGGGCTTCCTTCACAGGGCTGCCAATTTTTAAAAAAACCTTGGAGTGAGATTCAGCAGGACCGACCACAATTTTGTTGTTGAAGCCGACACATAAAATGTTTGTTTGTCAACTGATTTGGTAGATGCGATGCTGGATTTTTGGGGCGCCTGCTGGAGATGGATAGGGCCTAATACCTTACATGCAAATACCATACAGAGAGACAATGGTGGTATAGCGGGTGTCTGGGGGTCCTCTACCAGAAAATTTTGGATGTGGTAGATTTGATTTCCTGCATTCTGGTGGGTTTAGGGGTAGCATTCTGGAGATGGGCAATACCTACATTCATTCAAAGCCACCCTGACTTGCAGGGCCTTCACAAGTGAACCTGCATTCAGCTCAGAGTGACTGAACTAGGACTTGTCTATGTGGCATAGCCTATTACCTTATAGACACAAGACCCATTTTGGATTTAAAGCAAAATTCATGGTTGAAATGGTTGAATATATTCTGATTAAGATCCAGCTAAAATATTATTCTGAGAATAATAATATATTTTGTGTATTATTGTAGTCTAAAGAGCATTTCATGATAAATCTTTAGACTATGCAAATCTAAAAGTGCCTAGACCTAGGCCATTTAATTTCATTTTTGACATTTACAAAGCTCTGGTCCACTTTCTCCTCCCTGACCCTGCTGTTTCTATTGTGGCAATAAAGATTAAAAAAATATGTGCAAAGCAAAATTTTGAAATAGAATTAGGAATAGTAGTAGTGAAATTGCTGTGAAAATTAACCTCAAAGTCAAGTTTATGCTATAGATATTTTCTCTCAGCCAGTTACAAGTGCACCGAATGCGTGCCGCTACGGCGTCACTTTGGGTTGTGAGCGTGCATGACGCGCATCTACATTGAAAGTAATGGGTTTGTGCGTGCAAAAGACATTACATCTGAATGCCCCCATGCACACACACACGCTTTAACCAAGGCGGCGGCCAAAAACAGCCAGGCGGCCTGCCTTTGTCTTAGATAGGCTGGGAAAACCCTGATAAACCCTGATATATATGTATACACATTTTTTAAAAATGAGATAGTCTAAAACTTGGTGCAGGTGGGGTGGCAAGGCATTTTTTAGTGGTGGCAGCCGCCACCCTATGCCACCCCAGTAGATCCGCCCCTGCAGTAAGGTCCAGTAACACAAGAAAAGATACTTTACAAGAATCTTTGCTGAGATGAATGTCATTTAAAACCTTTATAAGAGCAGTCTCTGTGCTGTGATGGGGCCTGAATCCAGACTGGGAAATGACCGCCTCTGTTGCAAATTAACATAACTCAAATCCAATTTTGTCACTGATGACATAATTACATTTATTGACTGCTATTTGTTAATATCAGCCATATTTTCATTATTTCCCATTAGTTTTTGATGATAAATGAACACTTAAGAGCAAAGGGACACCATAACAAGGACTGGCTGTTCGACGTGGACTCGACGAGACTCTCAGAAGGATGAGTACATCCCCAGCCTCCGGGCAGCCTCAGAGATCCTTGGGGTCTTCCTATTGGGAAACGGGTGGTGGACCTCGGCAGAGGACCCCACCCCTCCTACACTAAACTGCCTGGCAAACCTGAGGGCTGGGGCCGAAAACTTCCTGGAGCCCCTCCAAGCGGATGAGGTGCTGCCAGTCTGTGGGACGACGTTACCGGTTGTTCTATCAGCAGACTGGTGCTCCTTCAAGTCCTCATGCAGGCTGGTGATGGAGCTGCTCGGGGAGTAGCTGATGGAGGCGATGGGGGTGGAGCTTTCATCAGAGCCGGTGGCTGAAAACTCCCAAGGATCACTGAAGGAGCCAGCAGAATGCTCCTCTTTGGATCCATCTCTGGAATGTTGCTCTGCAGCGTCGAGTGAACCAGAGACATGAAGTTGGACAGGATCCATATTCTCTGTGTCTACTCTTGACGTGTCAGAGGGAACTTCTTCTTTGGTGCTGCAGATGGAGCTACAGGGAGAATCAGATGTCAAATCCACAAAGAGTTTTCTGCTGACAGACTCACAGGAAGATGATGAATGTCTGTGAAACAAAGACAACATGGAGGAAACTGTCAGTCAAGATATCTTCTGTCTTATTTCTTCTTTTCAGCTGTGGGTTAAATGTAAACTTCATAGATCCATGAGACACATGGTGCATACATTAATTAACTTTACCCGGACCTCCTGAGACCCCAGCTTTTGTTTGGTATGCATTTTAATTTCTCCTTGCTATTTAAGATTAGAAGGACCTGAATAGTATATAAAAACTAAACATCTTCTTTGAACAGTAAGTAGTTTTGTAAAAAAAAAAAAAAAAAAAGGTGTATAGCTAGCGATTAGCTAACGTTAGGTATGAAGTATTACATAGAAAGAGAGGCAGTTAAGGTTAGGATAAGGGTAATGGCAGGCTACAGCTCGTTACTTATACTAATGCTAAGTTAGCTATTAGCTAATGTTGGCTATGAAGTATTATATTAAAGGAGAGGTGGTTAAGGTTAGGGTAAGAATTATGTAAATTATGTTAATGGTAAGTTTGCTATTAGCTGACATTACATCTTGTTACTGATACAGTGAATCACGTCTTCATGTATTATGAATTATAAAGTGGATTTTTGCTACATTTAGCTTTAGATTTTTGCTACATTGTAGCACTGAAGCAGGGTTCAGATAACTGTCGTGTTGGTGGGTTTGTCTTGTTCTAGTGGTGTGCATGGTTTGTAGGGATGTGTCGTGTATGCTACAAACAAAATTGTGTCTGCAGCTATGCCTCGACTGACTGGGAGGAACTGTTGGTGTTTGTTGTTTCCGGGGAAGAAGCTATGAGCTGCTGTGCGGTGACACGGGGACAGCAGTGCTGGTGGAGGCCCAGGTGGACATGCCAGGGGTCGCAGGTTGTAGGGTCAGGGTTAAAGGTTACAGCTGGCGGTGGCGAGCTGCTGTTTGGTTCCCACGGTGACATCAAACCTTGAGGGACAGGGATGATGCTGACAGCCTTGGACAGTTCTTCCGATACTGAGAGGGAGAATTTCATAAAATATGATCACGTTTAAAGACAGAGAGAGAGAGATTAAACTTAGGGAATGCCATTTAAGTTAATGTTACATAAATAAGAATGTCTGTGAAATAGATAAATATCTCTCTAAAATAAATATGTCAATAAAAATAAAAAAGTCTACTAAATAAATAATGACATCTTTGAAAAAATAAATATGTCTGTGAAATAAATAAATAATAAATAAAGAGGTCTATGAAAAAAATATTTGTCTATCAAATCCATAAATGTGGTCAGTGAAATTAAGACATTTATTAAAGAAATAAAGATCTTCATGAAATAAATAAATGACAAATGGTGTATGAAATGAATAATTATTATTAAAATAAATATGTCTGTGAAATAAATCATTGAGGTCTACTAAGTGAATAACTATGTCTGTAAAATAAATTTGTCTACTAAATAAATAAAGACATCTATGAAAAAACCAACAATTATTAAATAAAATATGTATTACATAAATAAATATGTTTATGAAATAAAGATAAACACAAAATAAATAAATGCAATATATGAAATAATGTCTATGCCTCTATCAAAATGCAAATGTCTATGAAAATAATAAATATAATAATGAAATAATAAATAAAATTCTCTCCATTAAACTAAACTTTTTCACCACAAATTTGCACATTTTCTTCTATTCTCTAAAACTTTATTTTCCCAGCACGATGCATGAGTCACGTGTCTCCGCAGGTAAACAAACACAAGCTTCAGCTAACCTGTCCTAAACAGGAGCACCTGAGTGTGTCTCTTCTGTGTCTCTCTGGTGCACCTGTACTGTTCTCTGAGCAGAGAGATGTCCATGCTCCTTCTGCTCTCTTCCTCTTCCTCCTCTTGCTGCAGTCTCATGAGCCGCTCCTTCTTCCTGACACCTGCAGGAGACACGTGCACACAATGACCTTTGACCTGCACACATCTGCACGCCCACAGCTCCATGACAACACCAGGGACCAACACGCAAACACATGACTTTGTTTTAACTGCTGTGAGTTTGATTTATACAACTTTAAATGATTATACATCAAGAAAAAAACATGATATAAAATTTATTACATTTTAGATTTTTATTGAATTTTTATTATTATACTTTTTGACTCGTTCTTGTAAAACATTTAGACATTTCTGTTTTTGGTTAGTAAATGCCATCAAATGGTTCCTTGTTTTGTATTTTATGATAATTATTTTCTATAAAACAAAATGAATTAAAAATGTTAAAAATAATAACTAGTTGAAGTTATATATTATTAAATAATATATTTGATAATAAGATGCTGCAGCTGCAGTATTATGAAGTGTTAAAGAGAGCTATTAATAAGAGATATTAACAATTAATGTTATAAATAATATGAAAAAACCAAATGTGCACAATGCCAGAAATGCACAGCGTTGAGTGTCATGTTTGTTGCTATCACTGCACTGTGTGTATTCAGTATGAGGGTTACAGCATTATACTGGTTTCAAGGTAAACCATGATATGAAAACTGATGGTTATCATTGTTATGTCAAAAGGGAGACTTTTTGCACATACTTCCATAAAAAATGTTTTCAATTTTCAGTTATAGAAATGAAACATTTGTTCAACTAAAAACTGTTTTAGGGTCATTCTGACTGATAATAATAAAAATTCCGATCTGTGATGTCGTGATATTGTGATAGTTATCATATTGTGCCCATATTTTTTTCATATCATAATCTCATACCATAACATTATGTCCTAACTTTAGTCTTTGTTCTCATTGGTTTTATTTTATTCTATTTCATATTCAGTATCTTTATATTTTGTCTATTTAGTTATTGCACATAATCAGGGGCGGGTAGTAACCTGTTACAAGAAACACACATACATTTTTTTTTTTTTCCTGAAGAATGAGTACTTTTCATGTTTCTTTTTTAAACTATGCTACTGCTCTCTACTCAAATATATTTTTGAAACAGTAATCCCCTTGATCATCACTACTACATTACAAGTCTACTCCAACAGCAGGGATTGAGTGTAGAACATGCAAGGAGCACCTCTACTTCAGATGACAGAGCTATTCACACATAAAGTGTAACTGAAGGTGTTTTCTTAAGCGAGTGAAGAAAAACACCCTCCTGACGTTATGAAAGTGAAAGTGGCTGCAGACACACACACACACACACACACTCACACACACACACACACACACACACACACACACAGAGCCACCGACAGCTGCAGCTAAAGGTGAATGTCACCCACGAATGTGTCTCAAATCGCATACTTCCGTTAGTACACTTCAATGTAGTACACTATCTGCAGTGGCACTAAATTCAGTAAGGTAGTGTTGTCTCAAATCATGCATGCTGTTTTGCACTTACCTAAAGTGACGACAGCGTCTTCTTTTTTTTAACCGCCTCTTCTTCCTTATCATATTCTTTTTAAACAGCAAATTGCAAACGGACAATGCAGCATTATCGTCAACATTTGACCGCTATCTCTGCCCACACATAAACCAAACTGATGCCACATTGCTGCAGTACCTAGGAGCAAGTTAGCTAGCTAGTACTCGCATTATTGTTGGCAGTACTGAATCATTACAGACCCAACAAACATTACTGACTGCTTCTAATCAACAACAGTAGCCTACTGGTACCCAGTGCAAAAAACATGTATAACTAACAGGCTCCTTGTTGTCCCCAGCCACCATGTCAAGATTTGAGAAGTTTGTGATGTAGCTTCTGCTTTGTCACAAAGATGGCGATCGCTGAGCGTGAGAAGTGTCTATTTTGACTGCACCAGTAGTACACTGCATTTTCCTGTACTATGCAGCATGAATGCACTCAGTGCACTTGTGCACTCAAAATATTAAGTGGTTAGAACAGAAGTATGTGATTTGAGACACACTGCAAGTCACAAAGGTAAGGTTGGTAAGTATAATAACATTAACTTATCTTGTAGCTAGTGGTCTATTGGCCTTTGTATTCATTCATCATCATCAAAAGGGGTTAGGGTTATTTTTGTATTATTTTTTCAGTATTTTGCACAGGCCTGGTTACTCTAAAAAACAACTTTTGAAGAAATTATTTTACATTTGCTTGAGTAGGTTTCTCAAATGATAATTTTCATTCAACTGTTACTTGAGTCATTTTAGGAGAGTAATTATACTTTTACTTGAGTGTAGAGTTTTTAGTACTCTACTCCAAAATACTACTTTAAAAGCCCTGCATTTAAAATGTATTCTACGAGGTAAAATATGTAATAAAATATACACAAAGTTTGATTTATCACTGGATGAATTTGTTTTATTTCTAATGATCACAACTGATTTGACAATCTGTGGAATGATTTCAATCTGTGAGATTTTACCCAGGACTGAAAGAATGAAGTTAATTATTTGACACATTTAGGAACTTTTACTGCAGTTTTGTTTTTGTTTTTATAAACATAAAGGAACAGTAATAATAAAACAGAGCTGCCAACATGTTGTTTTCTAACAATCATGTCACAGTCGTGTTAATGGAACACTATCCCTGCTAAGGTACATCATGACTGAGTCCCACAGAAGGTGTGTGTGATGTGTTTGTTATTTTACCGTCCAGCAGCTCTCTGCTGGGACTCACACAGCAGCAGCAGGAGCAGGACATCCTGTTGGCCTCAGCAGAAAAACACCTGCTGTAGATGTTTTTTTGTTTGATGTTTTATTCCCCCGTCAGTGGAACCAGCATGCACCTCCTGCAGCATGGGGACTTATGGTACATATAAAACCCCTTCAGGAAGCTCAGACAATCCAAACCTGCTCATTAAATCCATCAAATCCAGGTCCAGATTTTGTGAAAACTGCAAAATAAAAAACGTTAAATAATGAGTGTTGAGCAGTGGAAGGAGGAATGATGTCTGTGCTGTGTTACCTGGTGAGGCAGGAAGCTGGACTGATGAAAGCACACATACACACATATTATGCTCTGACTTTGATTCATGTGTAAACAGTGAAGGACAAAGTGTTGACCTTTCTGTTCACACAATAAACATGAGCGTGTTTGACATGAGTGAAGAACAAACGCTGTGTTCATTACTATTCAGAGTGAAGTGATGTTAAACAGGATTAAGTCCTTAAAAACTCTCCAGCTAATTCAGAATGCAGCAGCTCGTGTACTAACAGGAACTAAGAAACGAGATCATATTTCTCCTGTTTTAGCTTCTCTGCACTGGCTCCCTGTAAAATCCAGAATTGAATTTAAAATCCTACTGTTAACTTATAAAGCTCTAAATGGTCAAGCTCCGTCATATCTTAGAGAGCTCATAGTGCCTTATTATCCCACCAGAACACTGCGCTCTGAGAACGCAGGGTTACTCGTGGTCCCTAAAGTCTCCAAAAGCAGATCAGGAGCCAGAGCCTTCAGCTATCAGGCTCCTCTCCTGTGGAATCATCTTCTTGTTACGGTCCGGGAGGCAGACACCGTCTCCACATTTAAGACTAGACTTAAGACTTTCCTCTTTGATAAAGCTTATAGTTAGGGCTGGCTCAGGCTTGCCCTGTACCAGCCCCTAGTTAGGCTGACTTAGGCCTAGTCTGCCGGAGGACCCCCTATAATACACCGGGCTCCCTCTCTCTCCCTCTCTCTCTCTCTCTCTCTCTCACTCTCATCCTATTACTGCATCTTGCTAACTCGGCCATTCTGGATGTCACTAACTCAGCTTCTTCTCCGGAGCCTTTGTGCTCCACTGTCTCTCAGAATAACTCATACCGCAGCGGTGCCTGGACAGTGTGACATGTGTGGTTGTGCTGCTGCCGTGGTCCTGCCAGATGCCTCCTGCTGCTGCTGCCATCATTAGTCATTAGTCATACTTCTACTGTTATTATACACATATGATTATTGTCACACATGTATACTGCCAGATATTAATACTTACTTTCAACATATTGTACCACAGTAGCCAGAACTATAACTATAATATTATTACTTTCATTAATGTTGTTGTAAGCTACTGTCATTACCTGCATCTCTCTCTCTCTCTCTCTCTCTCTCTCTCTCTGTCTCATTGTGTCATATGGATTACTGTTAATTTATTATGCTGATCTGTTCTGTACGACATCTATTGCACGTCTGTCCGTCCTGGAAGAGGGATCCCTCCTCAGTTGCTCTTCCTGAGGTTTCTACCGTTTTTTTTCCCCCGTTAAAGGGTTTTTTTTTGGGGAGTTTTTCCTTATCCGCTGTGAGGGTCTTAAGGACAGAGGGATGTCGTATGCTGTAAAGCCCTGTGAGGCAAATTGTGATTTGTGATATTGGGCTTTATAAATAAAATTGAAAATTGATTGAAATTGATTATGTAACAGTGAGAGAGCAGATTCCAGGCAGCAGTTTGTTTGATATCACTGACTGTTTGAGCTGTGTTGAAGGAAACTAACTACCAGACAACAGTTACCCTGCTGAAATGTTGTTGTCACTTAGTGGTGGACTCAGCCTGTGTGATTAATAGAGACCAGCGGTGCGTAGAAAGTTTAGTAGTATGTAGCACAGCCTCTATAGCACTGCATCAGGTTTTCTCCACTGAAAGTTTGCCCTAATGTCTGAATGTCGAGTGAATGGTGACCTGTTGATCTTGTTGTTACCTGTCACCCATGGACGTGGTTTATCGCTTACCTTACCTAAAGGGCAAATCATAATTTATTTACATGATCTCCAACTTACATTTAAATTTAAAAAAATCAGGTCCTTTAAGGCAGTTGTGGTTTCCAAAAATATATGCATGAGCATGTGAGAGTCTAACCCCTAAATTGAATCCCAGCACCCCTAAAATTTGAGATTTTTTAAAAAACATTTTTACTGTATGTCCTTTTTTAACAACCTAGAAAAGTGTCAAAACCATACAGTACTTGGTTGAAACGTAATATTTTAACAACAAAAATAAAGCCAAGGTGCTACTGACTAGCTAACTGACTGGATGCCCATTAACATTATAACACTATTGTGTGTGTGTGTGTGTGTGTGTGTGTGTGTGTGTGTGTGTGTGTGCATACATTGTACCATAGGCAGGGTTGCCTCTCTTTTATGTTATTATTATTATTTTGTAGATTTCAAGCACTTTTCTTTTCTTTTCTTTTCTATTTTTATTCATGTATTTTTATTATATAATACAGACAAGAAAGAAAAAGGCAGAGACAAACATTGGAAAAGTCAATTACTGTTAATGTGTTAATGTTACATGTTGTGCATTGCATTTCAAATAAAAGTCCAAAAAATAAGTCCAAGGTCCATTTTTGGTACTCACTATAGGGGGCTGGTTTACTCCAGAAACATACATACTGTTTGTGTGTATGTTGAGGAGCTGCTGTATCAAAATGAGTTGTCTTCCCCCAGAAATTAGGGTTACGATATGTTTCTTTTATGATTCCAATCCATTCCTCTTTTGCTGTGGCTCAGCATTTAAATAACCTCTATCAGATTTGATGGTTTAGTCACAGACTTTCCCAAAAAGTGTTGTGTTTTTCTTTCACAAATGTGGGAATGAAATTGAGTTAAAATGTACAAAACAGTGAAATTTATCTTGCCTGGCCGGGCAGCTCTCTGGGTGCTCAGCACCCCTAAACCTCTGATCCTAGAATTGCCCCTGGGTCAGACAATCATACAGAGTGGCAGGCAGTCTGCAGAGTGTAGATAAAAGGTATCCTTGTTGGGACTCCTTTATAGACAAGTTAGGGAGGAAACTGATAAGACAGTACATGAGGCTGCAAGGACGTCAACCGGCTAGGACCGGTTCTGTGGTTAACAAGTCAACTTAGCCTTGAACAAATGTCAGAACAAAATATCAGAACAGAATGAAACAAACATGTTTTCCTGCTGTAGAGTGAGTGACGAATGGACAGCTACTTGACAGATGGTGCTTCTCAGGGTCAAGGAAGGATCCTTAAAGGTAGGATCTGGAGGATTTTCAAACAAAACAAAATATAGACATATACAAATGAAATCCTGCTTAATCATCCCCTATGGGCTTCTACTCATATGTGGTGGTGACTCTGTTTGCAGAGCTCCTGCCCTTTAACTGTATTTTGATGTTTTTTTTTTTTAGACCACTTCTGGGCGGAGATTTCCCCAGCCAATGAGAGAGCGCAGGTGCCGTGCCCGAGCATGTCCAAGCGTGCACCAGCGCGAGCCTTGCCTGAACCTCTTCTGTGAAGCCTTCTTCCGTACCTCCGGGCTCTGTACACCCGGGAGAGTTGAGCCTGATAGGAGGGGCCAAATTTGAATGTGTGTTTACAAACAGCAAATGGAAAATCCTCTAGACCCTACCTTTAAATGATGGAAATTCAAGGAAGTTATATCATCGAATACCGTCAAAGGACTGTTCCAATGTCAAGGTTCCTTTGACTTCTACCAAGGACTGAGTCATTCCTTAAGAGAATTTTCAAGGATACATGTGTGTATCCTCAGCAGACATAAAGCACCCACAATTCTTTCCACACAATTTGCTGGAATTAAAGGCAGGGCCTCTTTAGTGACACACACTTTGGCACTCGGTAGCCTGTTCCAATGTGTGTTCACTGAATACTAGAAAGGAGTCTTGCCTAGCCTCTGTAGGACCTGACTTGGAATGACGCATCCCACCAAGGAAGCATCCTTGACTTTGAGAGGCATTGAGAGACAACAGCAAACTAGCTCAAAGGCATGGCCAATTGCAAGTCTGATGCTGAATATATTAAACTATGTGGACTTGAACTAACAACTACAGAGAAATCCGGACCCCGTGGCTGGACCAGTTATTTTCTATTCTGTAGCTCCTTTGAAATATTTTTTCAGCCCAGAGAGAGCAGGGATGAAAGTATTGGGGAACGGTTGTAACACAGGCCTTTTCTCTTGTAACACAAATGTCAAGACTTTGTTGGGCAGTCCACAGGAGCTTCACCCCACTACTGAGTCCACAGCAGAAAATCAGCCTGATCAGATCAGTTTTGCCAGTTACAGTAGAAAAACAGATTTTTCACTCACTGAGTAAGAAAATAGTTAGAATAAAAGCATAAAAAATATTTGTTTTAGTTAGCTAATCTAGCTCGCTCGAACCCCTGATCTCAGTTCGACTTACATGTTCACTTTTTCCTCCTTGTTGGTCCTCAATGGAAATTTGCAAGTTGAAATTCAGAAATTCGCAAGCTGAAATTGACGCAAAACAAACGCAACTCTTGCTTGACACTTTCCTTGGTCAATCTACTACCTTGGACTGAAATTGAGGACCACAATGGAAATAAGCCTTTGGCTTTCTTGTGTACTTAATCCTCTTTGTACTTAATCCTCTTTAAAAATCGTATATGGAGTCTGTCTTATTGATCAGTCTGTCATGTATATTTAAAAATTTTGTCTGTCTATCCATCTATCTATCTATCTATAGGCCCGTTTCCACTGAAGAAGTTCCTGGTACTATTTGGGGGGCAGGAACTACTACAGGAACGTCCTCTCGCTCGGCCCTCTCAACCGCCGTGTCTCCACTGAGAGTGGAGTATGAGGAAGGTTCCTGTAAAGTTACGGGCTCTGGATGTGACGTAATCGTTGCGCGACCATTTACCGGGGCGACGTAGGGACGCCGTTAGCTGTTAACCCTTAGCGGTGTCTGTAATAACTCACCAAATGGCCCGTGAGAAAAAATATTTTTTCCAGCGGATGTCTTAGTTACAACATGATTGAGCTAACTGGAGTAGTTTCATGTTGTATCTGACAACGGGAGGCTTTTAACAGATGACGTCCGATGTTAGCTTTGCTGCTGTTAGCTGTCCCTGTCAGCGGCAGCCACTGATGCT